TACTGACGTGGCCAAGATAGTCATATCATTATCAAATTTCTCAAAAACTAAATATAAATACCATCAGGTTAAAATGAGTTCATGTATGGTGTTTAACACTGTTGCATTTAATTGTTGAGTTGTGGATATCTTTGAAAATAAAAATCAATTGACAATTCAGTAATTTTCTCTATTCAAAGTCAAATAACATTTGTGTTTGTTTCTACATTGCTTTATCTGCTGTTGTGTTTCAAGGACCAGCAATTAATCCCCGGGATTTTACCATGTCATCATGGGAATATTACCCTTGACTGAATTCGTATCTCATTATCGACCCTCAACAGTCAACACCGAGGGGCAGTGTACTCATATTTTGTGTTTAATCAGCCATTTTATCCGAAATCACATCAGCAGTTGGTAAATATATGCGTTCTTCTAATCTACTCTTTTTAAAAGGAAAAAATGTCAACCCCTAAGACTGGACAATTGACATTGTAGTATTTTGTAAACAACTCTAATTTGATGTGAACGCAATTTGTAATACTTTGGGGGAGATGGAAGGAATGGGGTTAACTTCATGTCAGTGAAATTTTAGAGATTCATTAAAGGCAAACAATTTTGTAAACTTTAGTTGTTTTTCAAACAGCCAATATTATCAAATTTTTGTTAATTTCTCCCAGAGAAAATCAAGATTTTCAAATGAAATTGTTCATGTAAATTTGATAGATGCAGTAAGATAGTCACATGACAACTATTTTTGGTGACAGCAGAGAATATAAATAAAGCACAAAGCAGGAAGAATGAGTGTGCAGTTTTCATACATACAGCCATGCATTGTTGGGAACAACAAGTGTAAATGTATTATGGTCAAGATTTCTGCCTCTCACATGAAGCTAGTAATTTACAATAACATGTACTGCTTTATCACAAATTTTAGAGTACATCTATGTGTTGCATCTTAATTTAGTTCTTGGTCTTTTGACATTTTTAAAGAATTATAGATCGTAATATATCCTCAGTCAATTCACATCTTTAATCTGATAACTGCTTGGATATGTGTCAGTATAAGCCCACCAAATTGACAAAGCTCTGACCAGTTGCATACCGGTAGTTTCTAATTTCAACTAAATTATTTCAACAATGAACTTGCATTTGTGATTTTTTTTTAAAAACAAGAGTCGCGGTACCTAGATTTTTTCATTGTCTATCTTGGACATAAGTTTAATATACATGTATTAGCATTACTTTTTGGCAGATTAGCATACTTTCTACAAAGCTCCATCCGACAACACAAAATTTGCTAAACCTTGATCATATAATGGCAAATGTTACAACTGTCTGTGCTTACCGTATTTTCATCCGAAAAAACAAAACAACAAATCACTATTTAATATATCAACCAATAATTAATTCGTGCAAAAACAAAATAATTTCTATTTGCATCTTGATATTTCACGTTCTTGAAAAAAATAATTATTTTTACTACCGCAAGTTAATAGAGTATTTACAGTACCTTAATTTGTATTTTGTATGATGGTTTGTTGACAGTATAGAGGATTTTAGTTTGCTGATTACATAGTTGAAAGTACGGGTCACCATTCCTGTTATAAAATGTTTAAAGTTTATCCTAGTGTAGGTAGATGGCGGTTATATTATAATCAGGCATAGTTCAAGGACACCTGTATTATGACTTGTGTCATCTTCCTGTGTCAAGTGTTCTCACCAGACATGAAACATTTGTCTCATGGTTTCATTTTTTGTCCCAGGTTTTTTACTCCCGTTGGATCAAATTGTCTCACAAAAATGTAAGAAAATTGAAGTGACAATTGAAACTTGTTTTCATATTACCGTAAAATCTGTATTAGTAGTCGCATCCCTAATGTAAGTCGCACCTATTCTTTTTAAACAATTGAGAACCAAAAATTCATTGTTTCTCATATGTGTAGATGCTCTAATAGAAGCCGCATCCTATCTGTTGCATTGTACTATTTAAATAGAAGTCAAAGCTTCTAATAAGGATTTTACAGTACTATTTTCACTTTAAAGGAAACAAAATACTTCCTGTCTCAAGTCACACATGGATGAGTAATTATTTCATGGGTTTTAAACTGATGCAATGTTTCTGCCCATCATATTTATTTCATGGTGAGATCACTGTGTATCTATTTCACTCTATATTAATGTGCATTGCGCTAAAACTTAAACATGGGTATTTATTCCTCATTTGGAGGCTCGGCCAATCCTGGAATCACTGTGGTCAGTGTGTCCTCGTAACAGTAACAATTTTGTAGGGATTTTAACTCCAAAGTCAAAATGGAATCTTCCAAACCAGTTTGTTGACTAGTAGAGAGAGTAGGTGACTTGAGACACAAATGAAGTTGTTGTGGCTGCTGATTTTGTTCTATTTATACTCACATTGTTTATAAAATGTGAATTTCTTTCAACTAAATAACAAATTCTGTAACTATAGTAAGGTGTTTATCAAAAAGGCTATATCAATGTATGATCATGAAGCTAGAAAGGGTACATGTATTAGTATAACCAATGGTGTCACAGCATGTCTCTGTAAATCAGTGTTGCATCATATCAGCTTAGAGGGCACACTGGTATTGATTTACAGTAGAACTGAAAAGACCTATTGTTAACACAGTCACACAAATATATTGATAAAAAACAAAACAAGGTTTTGAAGTATTCAAGACTAGTTCATTGATACAAAGCATAAATAAACCACCACACCTACAATTTATCACAACACAACACATGATTATAAATTTGTTGTATAAATATCCCGCATAATACATGTATGAATTAGTTTATTGTAAACAGCTTTTTTATATTACTTGTGTAGAAAGTATAATACTAATTAATTACTGTAAAATACTTACTGAGAAGGTTTTTGGGTGTTTTGTATGGGGATTATTTTCACTACTTTTTGACGTTGAATGTAAAATATATAGGGAAAAATTTATATTCGCTAGATGTTAGTTTCACTGAATCATCCTTTCAGCAAAATTAGCGAAAATTAATTCAAAGCGAAAATAAAGTAAAGTGGGTCACAGCACTGTAGTTGTAAAGTTGTGAAGGTCAGTGAATTTGCAGAATCAGTTGCTTACTTGACTATGAAAATAATACTGGCTACTAACAAGGTTATCAAGAATAAATAATAATAAAATTTCACAACAAATTAAAGTGTTTCACATCAAGATGATGAGTTGTACTCAACTCAGAATGCTGAATATCACTGAGTAATCAATGTGTTTTATTGCTTTACAGAAAAAGCCCCTTTGATAGCAGATTTAAAGAACCAGGCTCATGTAGGACAAACTCACAAAGCTGGGAGTGAGTCTTGGACGTGTACGTTTGCACCAGATAGGTCATACTTTGCCTGGTCATGTGGGAATAGACTAGTGAGGCTTGTACCATGGGATCCGTACAGAAATACAGTGTAAGTTGCAAGATTTTTCATTCAAATTTGTCAACCAGTGTGATCGTCTTGATAGTTTTATTAATATTTGGTCTGTGGTCATCAGGGTCCATGTGCCAGAATCCAATCGTATGTCAGTGACGTGTTTCAATACACATGCAAATACACTTTTGAAATCATTTTGCCTGGATTTAACTTCCAAATATTATACATGAACATATAATATATCAGTCCATATTTAAACAGTCTGTATATTAGCCACTCTCTGAATACAGATCATAGAACTTGTTTTCTGATTGCAGCCTAGAATGTCCCAATAGTTCACTGCTATGCCCACTTATTTATATGTATCATAAACAAAATTTATTTAAAATCCTAGAAGGTATGTGTGCAACATTAAATCCAATAAAAATTAAATTAAATATTTCTCAAAATTCAAAATGTCTACCTTCACTATTTCACATCATCATCATCAGTCAAACCTATTTGCTGTATTAGTTGTGCATGGCTTACATTTCTAATAGAGCAACTATAGCCACGTTCACACTTGCTGACCTAGGAAGGGCTAGATCACTTTGTAATTATGTTTCTTATCAGTGGGCTAAACCCGTTTTTCTAGAAAAAAACTGCAAGAGGGAGCACTGCAGTTCAGTGCGACCACCAAGTTTGGGAGATAGGGTTGAATACTGTGGCCACATGTGATCCCTGGTCAATCAGAATTTTATGGTTGCTAGACGATCTGCTTCCTAGGGTAAGGAGGCGCATGGCCATGGCATGAGGGCACTGCGCCCCTGTTTCCTTGTTTAAAAAATCCCTGCTGTTGATCATGCATCAAACTGGTTTACATTTAACTTGATATTCAGACTCTTCTACACCTTCATCTACCAGTGGGTCACTGTTATATGGCATTGTTATAACTCTGTTCAAGACCAGCCTTCTGACTCTAAGCTAAACTAATAACCAGTATCTTTAAAGTATTGAACTTATTTCATACTACATGTGTTTAACTTGTTTTCATACTTGGATCAGTCAAAAAATCTGAAATAACATTACAAGGTGTATAATAAGTAAAACAACTTTTCTGATACCACAGAAAGAGTAGTGATGTACTGTAAAAGCATGTCTTTTTCGCGAATGTAGCAAGAGAACTGATTCGCTAATTCAAGATGTCGCTAATGACTTTATTATCAATTCAAAATGGCCACCAAACAAAGAAATCAACAATGACAAGAGAGATTCGCTAAATCAACATTTCGCTATTACGTCATTTTACCACAATTCGCTAAAATTGCATGCCGCTTTTTCAACATGTTTTACAGTAGTTTTTGTGTTATTTTGGTTGGACAAAAGAATACATTGACAAATAATTTATTCAGAATAGTTTTTCAGTATTATAGGCCAACACAATAAAAAAATGTATTTGTGGTGTTTGATCTCCATCAATTGTGGAACACTATCTCCATTAACTGACTTAAATTTTGTATTTATATTTAATATGAAGTATGTATTTTCATTTATTTTTGATCAAATGAATGTCATTTCACATTGTCTATAAGCTTAGATACAGATTTTGGAAATATTATGGACAAAAATATGTAGGTTAATTTTGTGAAAGATGACAAAAAGTTGACTTTAGTGTAAAATAGTAAATATATGGAATTTGTGAATTAATGTAAATCAATTCATAGTACCTTGTTTATTAGAAAATTGTAAATTGATGACAGTACTGGCATCAGCTGGCATGACATGTCATGCTCAGGAAAACAAAATAAAAAGATTTGGTTTTGGTCCTAACATGAGATTTTTTTCAAAATTTACAAAATTCTGACAAAATATGATGTATGTGGTCACACAATACAGATTATGATAAAACTAAACAAAAATAGCATGAAATCGGCTTTGTGATTAAAGAACGTTCACAAGAGAAACATTTTATGTTTAAAATAAAATCACTGTTGATTCACTATGAATAATGGAAATACCACAAGTACAACAACTTGTGTACACTTAATAAGGCCTGAGTTTGGTGATATGCCCAAATAATATAATATAGGCCTTTGTTTATATTGAATCTGTTGCTATGCATATTATGTCGCTATGCACATGATTACACGTCCTGGTCATGTGACATTAATTGGCAGTGGTTATTCATTGTTTGTTTCAGTTCTTGTTTTCTTACATTTAGTTTGATAAAATCTCAACACAAATGCAATTTATTGTCAGAATTGTGGCATACTGTAACAGGGCTCAAAATCAACAGTAGTTCAAGGCATACACTACCTAAATCTTGTTCTAGGGCTACCATTTTTTCAAAATTAGTTGTCCACCTGAACTACTAAAAATTTACAAAATATTAAAAAAATGAATTTGTCCAACATAAATTAAGAAAAATTACATTTATTTATTCATATTGGTGATTTTCCGCATTGCTAAATTCCTACTATAAAACCTGATAGACTACCCAATATTACTGTTGGACTACCAGCTCTTAAAACTGGTAACCCAGCCAACTATCCAAAAAAATGTTTCCGTAATTATAGTCCGGCTGTAAATTTCATAGCCCTTTTCTCAATTGGGCTACATACATGTGTATACATAGTAACTTAAAAATAAAAGAAAATTTGATATGACAATAGCCGTTTACAACAGCTAAATGCTTCATAGCTAATTATTGGTATTATAGTATTTCCCACTTCATGATATTGATTTACTCAATTGCAGTGGTATTCCGTTGAAAGCTGAACACCGCCACAATGATGAAGACAATAACAACTATATGCAGCATGTCCGGACTATTGACTGTGGCGAGATCGTCTGGGCCATGGCGTTTGGATCATCGGTACCAGAACGAGCCAGGAAAAACATTAATATTCACTATACCAGATTCAATGTTGGTAAAAAAGAAGAGTTAGTACTTGCAACTGGTTTGCATAGTGGTAGAATTAAGACATGGGACATTCACAAAGGTAAGATGCCCTCCTTCTCCGCAAGTTTATGCCGTACAATCATTTATTTTCACTAACATTTAATTTCCCTATTTTAATGTTTTGAGCATATTCACTGTGTTTTAATTTCACAAAGGAAACAATGATTTCTATTGTTATTTTACATGTTCATGTAGATTAAATTTAGTGGATTTCACTTTATATCAGCAAAAATAGCGAAAATAAAACCCAGTGAATAATTAATACATTTACAGTAGTCTGCCTATAATAAAATCAATGGCTGTGAAGCAAACCCCAGTTGTTTAGCATTGTCAGGAATTGTCATGTGATACATAAGAAGTGGATAATGCACATGTATGTTTATTGTATGACATTCCCACCAGGTTTATAGTCAGAAAATTGCCCGTATACAATATATATATTTGTATCCAACGTGATAGTGTAGCTACATATTTGTAGTCTATTTTCGTGAGAAAAAAATTGGCAATCTAAAATAGCAGATGAACAGGTGGCTGACTAAAGACATGACTTCTACATACTAACAATATTATTTATGTACCGTGTAGTATCAGTCATGTTGGTTTATCTGCCAATGTATAATATTTATTTTATAACCAAACGGCCTTAAGAAAAGTTTTTATAGGAATCCTTGCACAGGTTACAGGTTATAAAATACTTTACTGGCACTGTGTCCCATCAAAGCTGCATGACAATGGGATAAACAGGACTACGGGGGGGGGGGGGGGGTATAACAATTAACAGTGTAAAATAAATATTTAACTAAAATTAAAGCATGTAATAACTCAACATTAACTTATAACATGTTATTTGTTTTCAATACATAACTTTGTACCATAAAAGAATACTGTAAAAGGATTAATTATTCACTGAGTTTTAATTCTGCTTATTTCGCTGACTGGAAAATGAGCCAAATTAGAACCCAGTGAAAATGTAAAATTTAGCATAGAACACATTATCTAAATGATAAAACCGTGAATTTAAAACCAACTGAATATGCTTAAAATGCTAAATCAGCGAAATTTAAACCCAGTGAAAATTAGTCATTTCCCAGTATCCAGAATTTTGTTTCATCAGGTGAAATCAGACAATTCTAGACTATATTAGCTGGAATTCTATCGTGATTAACACATAGCGAGGAGAGTCTGATGCCTAAATGTCACTTTGTGAGGTCCCGTAGTGACAAATGTCATTTGAGCTGTCCCTCAGTGTCATTTGAGCTGTCCCGTAGCACTTGGCAAGTGTCATTCGAGCTGCGTTACAAGAATCATATCATCAGCGGAGACCGTGTTTAAAAACTGCAATCACAATCTCCCCTGCCTCTCAAATTCAAGGACTACGGTACCTGCCTTCAGTAGATTGAACATTCACTGATCACGTCCGCTTCTAAATTAATATTATTAATATCATATTATACAATGTAGCATAATTCACAGATGACATCACTAAGCATTACCGGTACATATTGAGATTAATTATTCATGGAATTTTTGATTTGAAATAACAAGTGAAAGTTTTGGTTTTGAAATAATCAGTGTGTTGTTCAGACATTGAATTTCTTTTTAATTCACGACAAATCATTCGGAAGACGCAAAAAATTATGAAAGATAATTTGTGTTGTAGTTGAAATTATTTGATTGCCTACATATGTTGTTCACATTTGATCTGTTTCACAATGCTGAACAACGTTCCATGGTTCCGTTTAAACAGATGATGCAATCGTCATCTTAGATTAAATGAAGTATTTCAAGACAGACGTGCATCCACTCTCAATGTGTTGTTTTGATAACCTATTGAATGGTTAGGGGTAGAATTAAAGACACACTGTAACAGCTCAATCAGGTCTAATTTATTTAACAGAATGTTGATGGTAGACATAGATACACCATAGTCAAATAAATGTTAAAAATAAAAATGTATTCCTAGCTTTTCAATTTTAAAGTAAATTAAATTAAACCAAATAAATTATGTGAGTGCTGCTGACACTGCCAGTTAGTGGATTACTGTATTTTTTCGAACCAATATATTTCATTATTATGCAAGGCTGAATAAAAATTCTGGTACAGAAATATTAAGAAAATGGTGGATGACATGCCTTTTTGCGAATTTTTATTTGTTCCTTCAATTTAATAATATTTTGGCCCTAATAAGGTATCAAGTATTTTCTTTTGAAATGAAGTGTTCACAGACCTAAAACAAATATTTGGGGAGGGGGGGGGGCTAAAATGTGAAATTTTTCTTTATCATTCAGATTCTCAACCCTTTGAACATTATGATTTTACTCGCCAAAATTTTGCATATTTTTGTGTTTTTTTCTATAATTCTCAATTATTTTTGGACCAAATGAAGGTTATTTCCCATTAGCTACATTAGTCTTAACCAAAATTTTTGAAAAAAAATTATGTGGATTTTATTTTGTGGAAGGTAACATTGGCTTTCAAAAATTTCGAAAATTCCGAAACATTTTTTTAATATTTTATGCCGACCAATCAGCCTGTGATATCTATCTGTTTATCATTCACATCATTTAAAAAGCAAATCAGGTCATATCGACTGTCAGAAAGACAGAATTTATAGTTGGATTTCAGCATTGTATTTTGAACATGATGTAAATGTTCAGTTAGCTTGTTTGGATCACTAGAACACAGCTGTTGTGGACTTAAGGTGTATGTTGTGGAGGATTTGTTTATTAAATTGTAAATGACACATGAATTCATTTCATTGTTTGGCTAAAATACATTGAATATTTCAGTTTTCAAAAACACTGTTTTCATATTCATTTGATGATAACAAAAAAAATACTTGATAACGCTTCAATGTCATGTGTTGTCCCTGGATTCTAGCTATCTTATACTTAGAGCTTGTTGGTCAGTCTATTGGCGTAGCTGTGGGCTTGCAGTCGTATCATAACTGATAGTATTGGTATTTTATTCGCTTGCTGTGAACAAATTAAAACTGCAGTTAAAACTATAATCATGCTTGATCAGCAACCAGTCCACTCCATCTTTTTATAGTACAGTATGTATTGTAATTTTTGACATAACAATATAGTCCTGTTAAAATCCTGGTTGTAATTTTTATCTCATTTTTTACAGGTGAAATCTTACATTACCTCATAGACCACAAAGAAGTGATACGAGATTTGGCGTTCGCACCCGATGGTAGTCTGATGCTAGTCTCGGCGTCTAGAGATAAAACCTTGAAAGTATGGGACCTCAATGACGATGGTAACATGGCGATAACACTGAAAGGACATCCCAAGTGGGTGTTTGGATGTTGTTTTTCACCAGACACCAAACTGTTAGTCTCTGTCGGGAGTGGGAAATCGGTAAGGCCGACTTTTTTTTATTCCTTGTTTCTCAAGTTTTTATAAGGAAATTTTTTTGAGGAGGGCGGGGAAAAAAATAAAATTAATTCTTTTTTCCCCATGAGATTTGTGTGATTCTCAAAGAATTGTAAGTGAGATCATTGATCGAAGAGAAGAAATGAAATAAATATTTATTCCATGTATAATCTTGTTTCTCATCTGCGCGAGACTTCGGTACTTTGATCATGATACTCCCACGAAAATGCAACTTGGATTTGTTATGCGACGGGCGGTAAAAAAATGAAGATAAAATGTGCTGTTCTTCCAAAATTCTGCACAATGTTTTGCAGGATTGCCTAATTTTGATATACAGAATTTGATATGATCTCACTTTAAGTGGAATACAAAAAGTTCATGTTTCAGACATACACTTCAGGTCATGGACTCTTTGAAGCTCCAGAGTCAACTTTTGTCATCTTTTTATGAATAAACCTCCATTTTGTTTTCACAAATGTTGATAATAACCAGTAGGCAATAGAAAATTATGTCAATTTTGTGTAAAATTTAAAATGCAATTATAGAAAAATATGAAAAAATTAGTTAGTACAAAAAATGACTACAAGTGTATTCAGAGAGCTAACTGAATTTGTTTTTATAAACTGTCGCAAAGTCTGATAAAACCTAATCTGCTTTACTTCATTTATGTAGCATTAACCAACATCACATCATATATCTAATTGCTATTGTGCGTTTTCTTTATTTGTAGATAATTTTATGGAAAGTTTTAAATTTACCAAAAGACTTAGTGTTATGGAAGAGATTGGACGGTCATTACAATGACGTAGTAGCATGTAGATTTTCTCCAGATGGCGCACTGCTTGCAACGGCATCATGGGATACCCGAGTTATTGTATGGGATCCCTATACCGGTGAAAAACTTAAAATATTTGGGTAAGTAGAGCATCATTATCATTCAGTATTGATATTTTCTCTACATAGTGAAATCTGTAATGTCGGTGTAGAGTATTTCAATGCACCATTTTCAGGTTTTTTGGTGTGTAGGATATCTGATTAATTAGCAAATTGTAGCTTTGTTTGGTTCACTCGGTTTGTGATATATGCATGGTCAGCATTATAAGCATTGTTTCAAATCAAACTTGGATCTGATGTGAAAGGTAAACAGATAAACTAAACCGCTACTACTGTAAAATCTGTATTAGAAACCGCGGTTTCTATCAACATAGTACAATGCAACAGAAAGGATGCATGCAGCTTCTATCTACACATATGAGAAATTGTGATTTTTTAGTTTTCAATTGTTCAAAAATAATGGATGCGATGCGCATTAGGGATCCGGCTTCTAATCCAGATTTTACGGTACTGATATGTATGATATATACATATAGCTATGTGCTTAATGATAAAGGGCCATTGCCTGAAATGTCCAGCAATTTTTAATAGTTACTTAGAATAACAATTACAATATCGCCGAAAGCTGCAACTTCTAGTAAAATGACAGAGGGGATATGGTCTTTGTTAGAACATCTAGACATACAAGAAGTGATGATTTTTTAGTCGCAATTTTTCAAAAAGAACGGCTGCAGCTTTTACTAGGGATATAGCTTCTAATATTGGTTTTATGTAAAACATGCTGATATATTATAGCTTATTTGGAGGATGATTTTGATGAATATTGCATAAATAAGACATCAAATCAGATCATATGTGCTTGTCCCAATACACCATGTGATGAGGAAACCAGAAATCCATCGTCAAACTGCAAGATCCACAATGTATGAATAACAAGTTGTTTGTTTGTTTGTTGCAGACATGTATTCCCTCCTCCTTCGCCTATATTTGCTGGTGGTGCTAATGATACATGGGTACGAGATGTGTCATTCTCCCCCGATGGTAGTCATGTCGCTTCCATTGCCGATGACAAGTAAGTACCCGACACTTGGTCTGAGTTGTCGCTCCAGGCGTATCTGAATTGACAATATCCAATTCATTGTTTTCTGAGTCTGATTCATTGTGATCACAAGTAGATGTGTAATGTTCATGATGTGTTAATTTTGGGATGTTATTGTTTTGTAGGTACGTGAGATTCTGGTCGCTATTTGATACGCAGATACCAGAGCAAATAGCGATTGTGCCAAACGGTTTATGCTGTGCCTATTCACCGGGCGGTGGAGTACTTGCTACTGGGTAAGTAATACCATTGACGAGATAATACTTTTACTTAAGATTCATGCATATTGATTGGTTCGATAGTTCTGACTAAATGTTTTATAGAGGATTGTCCCGTTAATATTATTGTGCAAGATCTCACTATAATTTAAAAGAAATTACTTGAATTACAGTGATTCAGTAAAATAATAAACAGTTGCAAAAAAACAAAACAGTATTGAAAGTGTGTACTTTTACCGTATTACCCCGTGCACGTGCCCTTCCTGGGCAAGTGCCCACCCCCCTGTTTTCACAAAAGTTACATGTTGGGGACATCCTCGGTTAAACGCCCAGGGTGATTTTTAGCCAAGAATGGGGTCAACAATAAAGTTTTATTTGTCAAAAACACGGACGCATTTGATTTATTTAAATAGTGTGTTTGTTACAGTAGTTCTCTTTTTGGAGTGTGTGATGGCCCTGAAAGGGACGCTTTGTTTGTGTTTTTACGTAAAAACTCATTGGAACTTAACGACGTAAGATGAACCACGCAGCATGTGGTGCACACGTTCTGCTTTCTCTTCATTCACGATGAATCCAATATTGCAATAATCCTTACCTTGGTGAGTGGTTTGAAGCACTTAGCTTTGGTTTCAAAACGTAGCATTTCGCTGACTGTGAATCCATAACGGGAGCTAGCACTTTTGAGACATCACGTCGTAAACTTGCTACTTTCTTTCCATCCTTCATCACAGCTATGGCATTACGGTCATGTGGATTATTTTTCTGTCGCTGAAGAAAAAACATTTTGCTGACCTCAAGTCCATTACGATAACCATAATGAGGCATGCCGACGATAGGAACATGTTGCATCATCGTTATTTTTGTAATTTTGTCATGTGTGTGGGTGCGTGAATAAACCATGTTAATGAGGTCCACCAGAGTTTATTTTCAGTCTGTTTTTTTATGTATCGCCGTTTGGATATGTTTATGTATTTACAATAGTTTGTAAACATTTCACATCAGTAATAAAAGGTTTATTTGTTTCATAACCCTGTCTGCTATTCTTCAGTAATTACGATGCGATGTATCAATACATGCGTGAACAAAATTATGTTAATGAGGTCATCGCCATCTTGGATTACAAGCGGTAGTTTTTCCCGGCCGTTTCGACTTGCACTGATCACGATTACTAAAAAAGTATCCGTGCATTGATTACAATACTTACCATACTTTGTAGCCAATTTCAGTGAGTAATACAACTTCATTCGCTGACATACTAGTAAAACAGGTTTTATTCTTGAAATTCGACCCTGTGTCTTAGTGTTCCCACAGTTCTTGACTGAGTGCTCACGTTTATTGAAACCTCGCATAAATCAAGAAACAAGTATGTGTACAAAGTGTACGAAAGCATTCCTTTATTTGACCTTATCATACGATCACAAAAACAACTTTTTAAAATCTTTTTTGGGGTGGTCCTCGGGTAAGCGCTCACCCCCAATTTTTCCCGATTTTGTATGTTCAGGGGTATTACGGTAGTAACCGTTGACCTTCCATTGCATCATGGGTAAAAACAAAATAGCAGCCTAAAAGTAAACAAGCTTATTCGATTATCAAAAATGCTGAATGGGAGTCATGTAGGCAATATATCTGAAAATTAACAAAACTATATAAATTCCTTTATTTTCTGCTTTAAGCTGGGCAACTATGAAAACAGCATGTCCGTCATCACTGACAATAAATAAATAGCATAACATGCAAATGACCAATATCATGCATTTAGATGGGGGAGGAGGTTTGTCATAACAATTTTATTCATCTAGTTTGAGCTGATTTTTTTTAAAGATGAAGTTGCATTAAAAAAAGAATTGTTGATTTTTTCTATCAAATACTTGTGTTCATTTTTTATTTTTTTAACAATTAAAGTTTTATTTTGTTATTTTCTGTGTATGATTTCTCTAATCTTGTATTTATGGGTTTTTTTTCAGAACAAGAAATGGGAATGTATTTTTCTTTGCTGCTCCGATGAAAGTACAAACCCTTCAACACTTGTGCCGGATCGTCATCAGGAAAATGATCCATGACACGAATAAAATTGAAAAACTGTTCATACCCAAAAGTCTGAGATGTTACCTGAGATATAAAGAATGAACGGTGGATCAAACCATTCTGAACTATAGGGAGGACTGCTTGGACTCACAGTGATGTGCAGTCATATTTTACTAAACATGCATAAGTGACTTGACTCTCGCAGGATTCACTGCGATTTACATTTTTTAGTAATATTTTAAGTTTACAGCATTTAACAAGAAGACATGGAAACAAATTTCCATGCAATGTACGTTTTTTTTATATATGGGTTGGCATTTAATGCAATTTGTAAAATGAATTTAGGGGGGAGTGATTTTATTTACTGAAATTCTAGTTAGACATTGCATTGCAGATCGAGCAGTAGTTCAAATGTTTGTCACCAGTATTCTTTGTTTGCTAGATGGTCTTTATTTTATGCCTTCAGTTGACAGTGTGACTGTCAAAGGTCACACATCCTGGTACATCATGAGGGTATAGAAAGTGCCAGGATGTGTGACCTTTAGGAGGGAGTCATATGATGTCATGTGCAGGAATTGTGGGAAATATGTTTTAAGATGTCAAATTACTGTGATTATTAACGTGTCCTAATTATTCCGGTTATTTTCCGACAAGCATGATCTTTCTATTTGGATATTTCCCACAATTCATTGCATATGTACACTATCAAATATATCGTATATTGGTTTTCAGAATACACGTATCATCTCAGAGTGCAACCTTTGACTTTTGACCAATTTCAACTGGTGCCACTTTTCACAGATCTATAGCTAGTAGGAAATCATGTCCATTGGACAATTATGAACTACAACTATAGAAAAAATATAACACCAAAATTTAAGTGAAAAAAGGTGATGTCTAAAGAAATTCAGACAGTTTGTCCAGATTTGTGTTTCCTGATAAGTAAATATCGATTGTTAAAAATAAACAGAAGATAAAATAGACCACAAATTCCAAAGTACATTTGTACTTACCGTATTACTAAACAAACATTTAATTCTGGAACAACTTTGTGTGATCTACACTCACTGAATTGTGATTAATAATGCATGAACTGCACATGATTTCAGTATCCATATCTTTTAATTTTTTCTCAGATGGAATTTCTTAGGGTTAGCAAGATAACAATACATCATGAATATTTCAAGTTTTAAATAGTCATACACTTCTAGGGTCAGAGTAAACGAGTACTTGCCAGGGGGATTTTTTTTTTTATTATCTTCATTACGTGTATTGGCCGCAGACTTGTGGACGTGTAAATATATGGTGAGAAGTGCTTGCAAGGAAAACATATTGAAAGTTTCCCGCTAAGGTTTTTTTTTGTACAGAAAGAAGATGGAGAAAAAGAGCGGATGTTGCTGTTCAGTGGATCTTTTCAGCAACTTACATATAAATAAATGCTATTTATTAAAATCAAAATATGCTGTTATTGTAGTTTTTTTTGTTTTATTGATGTTTATCAGTAGGTGTGCAGGTCACAGTGATACAATCCACCACAGTAGTCACGAGATTCAAATTTAGTATATGCAATGTTTTTTTTACAGGCATTGTATACATAGCACACTGATGCAGCATGGGGACTGTGGGCCTTCAATCATTGTCACTGTGGCAACAGTCAAGTGCAAGGCATGCTGGGAACAAGTCATGCTAAGAGCATAAACAGACCTACATTTTCCTGTACATCATAAACACATGGAACTGACATAACCCACTAATTACTTTGCATCTATTCCTGTAATTTAGTCCTTCATGCAAATCAGCAAAATGCACTTCTTTATGTCTCAGCAAAGAAAAAAAGTAAACTTTATTTTAAGATACATCGGCTATCAGTATTCACTATTTGTGTTGTTGCTTTACTATCATCCTTGTCAGTACAAGCATGGTCAGGTGACCCACATATCACCAAGATTTTGCCAGAGTTCATGTGAGATGCACGTTTCTGTCACTGGGTTACTCTATTATTAGGGAGGGGTCTGTGGAGTGCCATATTTTTCCTTGCCAAAATTATGGTGCAACATTTTGAATTTCATTATTTGTTGACCAAAGTTTCCTATTTTTGCGATAAACATTGTAAAAAATGATGCAAGTTGTTTTCATGGCAGGTGACAAAAGTTGGGTGGATTGTAATTTTATGCACAATTTGTTGATTACCAATCACAAACTGGTTGTGTAGGGAGGAGAAATTAACTGACTGTTATTCCAGTTTGATAGAAAACTTTTATTTGGAAAAAAGAAATGCATGTCAACATTCATACATAGTGATATAAAGTTATTCTAACTCCCTGTACTTAGAGTTATTGAAAATGCTGATAGAATATAATATTAATATTATTTATACATGGAGATAATACCAGTACATCTCTATCTTGTCCTGTATGGTGTCCCCCCCCCCGCAAAAAAAAGCACGCAATCTTCTATACTGTACACTTTTATGTATGGCTATAAAAAGTACTGTATATTAGTGTATGGTCTCGCTAACTCATTGGAAAAACAAAGATCTCAAAATCTTGTGTTCACATTGACGTTTTTTTGGTGTATGGCGTCAAAGGATGACGCGCACAATGGCGCCGACTAATTTGAGGCTCCCAGTCCACTTACAACCCTATTGCGAATAGTTGCCGAGTGACAGCGTTTAAGCCCGGTTTAAAACGTGCGATCTCTGAAACTATTAACGCGTTGACTCGATTTTACCAAAAAAACTACAATAAGATTTGTTTACGACAATACATGAAGGTTTGCCTCTTCAGCCCAACTCCCTGGAATTATGTGTTTACGAAGCGAAGTAACGTACATTCATACTAAGTGTGGATAAAATGACTGAATTCAAACCACACCATCTACTATAATTACAGAGTATCGCTATCAAGGGATAAACCTGTAGAAAATGCAGGAAAGCAACATTGTTAAATAATTTTATTTGCCTCATTATAAATTCATAAGTACAACTTGCGTCTCTTCGAAGGCTGTAACTGACGTATAAATCTTTGACAAAATTTTCAATATTATGAAGATTTAAATAAATACTTTTCAGTCTCCTTTGAAATTTTGGAAGCAATGATCCAGTAAAAAAAAAACGTTCGGCTATAGCTGATTGTTTATTTTCACCTGTGGCAGACATCGCTTAGAAAATAGTTCAACGTTCCCAACCAGTGTTTTATTATTATCTGAGCATAAACAGATGTGGACAGTATGTTAGTACCCACGATTGTTAGTTCATCTAGCTCCATGGTCTACCCAAGCACAGTTCCTGTGACCTAAAGTAACCACGGGTCAAATGCTCGTCACGTGACACAACTTCCAATCGGAAGTCGTGTCATTTATTACATGGACTTTTAAGCTTGCGTACTATATACTAGAACGTTCCCGTATTATATTAGATAGGGCAACTCCCCGGTCACGTCATGGCAACGTTTTTAATAAAATTATTAGGCTATACTAGTATTTCCACCTCTGCGTCATGAAGATAGTGAGCAAATCCAACAAGACTTAACTGTAGACTATAATTCTATGATCTCACGTGACACTTTTTAAATCTACAAATAATTAATTATTAGTGAGGCTGTTTTCGGAATGCAATCTTAGCTGTCAATGTCAACCTGCCTTGGTGACACGATTATTTTCGTTGGGTAAGATTTGGCTTTTTAGAAACAGCTGACAAATTATATTCTCACTAAAATTTACGGCAATCTGACCCTCCCGAATCATGATACGACGGTGAACTCTTTTTAATAGCATGGACTGACGGCACTGACAATGAACATATTTACACAGTCTTAACATAATGGAAATAAACACTCTTGGGTTGTGTCCATTAGTATTGTCTTTCAAAATTGAATTGAGAAAACCATAACAGCAAATAATGATTAAATCCATTTGTTTCACTAATTAAATTTTCCAGCCATATTCATTGGACTAGAATGGTTTTAAACTAAAAGAAATCTACACAATGAATGATTACACAAAACTCAAAATACTAGTAGATAGTATTTCTGATCTTAAAGAGCGGTAATCGTCGCGCTACGCATGCGCGAGATATGGGTTTCAAACTAGTCTCATACCAGTATATGAGCAAAGATGGCGACTTTTACTGTTCTGGAGTATAAACTGAAGCGTTACCAAGCTTTAAAGGGCGGCAGTCGTCACGCCGCGTTCTGTTCGATATGGGACTCATAGCGACGTACACAACGCGTGTAAAATGCATTGTTTATTTACATGAAATTCGAACACGGGCTGCGCGACGACCACCGCGCTTTAACTATGTAATTTATTCGGTGTTTGGAAGGCATCGAAGTGTCACGGGTGGTATTTAGCTAATGTAGCGCCAAGGTCCATACTCGTACTTGTGATTTCCATTATAAGAGCGCATTGGATTGTGGGAAAATCAATGTTTATCAACACAAATGCCACACATGCGTAGCACGATTACCACCGCCATTTAACCTCAGACAACCAATATTGCTTTAACATTTCTTGTTTCTTTCATAGTTTGTTTATTATACCGATTAAATTTTATGTCGGAGGTGACCAGACTAAAGGGCGCCGAGTCGCGGTATAACTAACATTTGACGTTAGACCGGCTCCAGTTAGTAAGACCATGGAGGTAATAAGAATACTAGTTATGCGGCCTATTTGGATGTGGAACTTCACCCCACGACCCCGTGCTAAAAACGCAAAGGCTCATGGGTATATATTTGTTTGTGAACAATGACACGCTATGTCCATCTGACGCATGCGCAAGTGCCGACTCCCCGGCTTTAAAATTATTTATTCGACGGGCCAACAATGGAAAAACGTGCATCAAGTATCTCGCCTCTGAACTCTCGCAACTGAAACACAATGCTGGACTTTTATGTATAAACTCCAAAAAAAAATGTTTTAAGACCACAGTCCATCAACAGTCCCTAAAAGACTTTTCATTATAACTTGAGAGGCTGATTTGATTTGTCTTTAAAACTACATTCGCGCTCATGCGAAGGTGACATAAAACTGCTTTTAGGGATGTATGCAGCTGCCCCTTGAAGGGAACATTGTTCCGTTGTATATTGTTGTTATTGTAACTTGAATATATTGTTTATTGACAACACACATTGCGGACAAGCCGTTATGACAATAAGTATACAAACCCATTATCAAAAGTAATTGTTACCACTGTGATTACAGACTCCATCTGTCAGCTCTGAACGAGATGTCATAACAGTTGTTGTGATTGGTTCTTTTCACAACGCATCATTCGTCAGCCCCCAATCACGTACACCGATTCGCGTGTTTGACAACACTCGTTTAGTTTAGGATTTAAAACATGTGTCGGTGAGATATGATTGTTTAGTGTGGTTTACTTTTTTAAGCACTGTTTCACCTGTATAAGAACCGGTTCACTGCCATCACTTTCAATCCCACTGTGGTCGCTGACCCATTCACGGTGACCTACACGGCACCACAATAACAGAGTAATAGATTTCCCGTCATAAATGATAAACACGTACTTCAAGTTGAGCGCAACTTGGCGGCTGACTCACTCACATCCTGTCCAGCTTTTCAGAGTATCGTACCAGCCAACGAATTTCTGAATACTGCCGTTGTCAGGACTTGACCAGAAATCGTAAACAAATTAGAACAAAAACACGGATATTACGTTATCTGTCAGTCCACAAACAAATCTCTCCTCTATTTCTGTTTCACTGCGAGGATTTCTACCAACGTGAACCGTAGACACTGAGACACTCCACGATCATAGTATTCTCGGTGTGTAAATGGTGGCGCTGTTTCCTCACAAGCTGATTGATTATTAAGTGGGTAGCCTGTATACATTACTGCCCTGCTGCGTCTGTTCATTCGTTCACAATCTTATTGTTCCGGCGATTTCGATATGAACTCCTGGTCATCGTACAGCAGCGGCCGACTGGGTCGGAATAGCTCGGGATCGCCAAAATTCGCAGGATATACACGCAACGGTAAGTGTTAGTTAACCTGTGGGGACATTTCTCACGACTTTCTGAGTAGATATCTTATTTGTCTTGCCATACGCTCTGACAGCGACTGTTTTTATAATCGGAACCGTCCTCTCTTTCTTTTCCTTTGTTGTCGGGGATGCCGAATTTCACGCTTTAAAATCAGGATATGACAGGACTACAGAAAAAGAGGTAAGTTCTCGATTAATTTTTAGTTTTTTTTTCAATCGGTTTTACTCTCTTCCATTACTATTACGGCATGACGAACTCCATACATTTATCATATTACCTTTTATTTGGCCCCAAATAATCATATTAAAGATCCGCTATTAACAATCTCCTAATCTCATTTCCATAGAAACGGCTTAATTAAATTTTGATCCCGTTTTCTATTTTTTTTTTTCATTTTAAAAAATCCACGCCCGACTTCTTTGTTATTACCATGCACGGTTATTTTCACTTGTCCATGTCGTTACGTCAGATTATTAAATTGAATTTATGATGGAGCATCGTGTAGGTAAAATGGGTCACGGATTTCTTATATGACGTCATGCTTGCAGCCGGAATATGTTATTTTTTTGTTTCCATTCCCGAAATGATGAATGATGAATAAAACATGATGCGTCAATGACACGTGACTTAAAGGGCTGAGTTCATCTTATTTTTGTTTTGTTATCATTATCACATCTAAGACTGCGAACTTTTGAACTTGGTGGATATTGGCGGTAATAAAATCTGATGGCCCTCAAATCATAAAGGAAGCCGTAAAGATATGTCTGACCATGGAGCTAAAAAGGAGCTTGATCTGACACATGCGCGTGAAATGCGACACTAGTTCATAACGTGATAAATTTCATTGAAATACCCTGGTTCATCTCAACCGTTTTTGAGGTCACGTACTACATCTGCCAATTAGTCAACGTCTTGTGTGCTATATGGATTCGTCAAAATAATTACATGTGCAAGACCGGTGTAAGTGTGACATCGTTTTAATGATCATTTCACTTGCTAGTATAGGATACTGAGTTAAGGGCTTTGTTGTCGCAGTGTTTGGAGCAGGTGCGCATGCGCTATCTATTTAGGGCAAATTATGACAATATCACGCGAGAGATGTACCTGTGTGTTTATTGAGGTCATCTCATTCTGACATCTACTATAAAACCGTGGAATAACAATCCCCGTCTCCGCGAAATACACGTATGCCATTATACACGTTTAACCTAGTTGTAAAATAATTGCTGTAGTTGGACAAAAGACCAACATATGTCAATTGTCAAAACTTAAATTCCGTATTGTTTATGGTCCACTGAGTGGCTAGAGCATTGACTGTACTTTTAATTCAATTATAAATAATATACATTTATTCCAACTTGGCTTACTCAAAACACACATTGATTTGAATTGAAGTTTGTCTCATTTGTATGTCTTTCTTATATAAAGTCTATACGAAGCTTCCCTTGAAGTAAGTTGGTGGTCACATAATTATAATTATTTAGATTCAGTTTATCTCCTATGAAGAATACGTTCATTGATTTGTATCTCAGACCCCAGAAACAGCGAGATAAGCTGTCCATGTCTATGTCGCGCGTGTTTTTCTCGCCACGTCCTATGACTGTGTTTTGATTTCGACTCATTAAATTATTAACTCTGTGTGTGTAGTAGACATACTGTACTGTATCGTTTATATATATCTGATATCTACACTTCCTGTAAGGGATATCCCAGGTTAGGATTACTGAGTTCTATGCTAATAAAGCAGCATATCATAACATTGCCGAGGCAGCTACATAAACACGTAACCCCCCTAAAGGAGACCTCGGCGTGCGATTCACATCGTTGAGTATTGTACGTTAATTTGGAGAAGTACTCAAAATAAACTTATGAACTAGTAATCAAAACAAACTTATGAACTACTAGTACCCTCTCCAGTAATACTGATATGTGGACGACACTGTAACCAGTAGAGTCACATTTATTTGGTGGTAGATTTATTTTACCTCGCCTCTGCCTCAGGACGTTCCGGCGGGCGATCCGATTTAAATTACCACATTTCTCAGCATCACTCCAAGTCAGGACTATGTGATAAACGTCAGCCGCCAGAGGGGACTGTAACTGTTTACTTGTAAGTTCAACTATTAATTTCACGGTTTAATATTCCCTAATAGATTCTGTCTTAGCATACGTGTACGGTATCACCGAACCCCTGTGAGCTTTCCCACCGTATATTAATAGAGGTCTTTGATTCGCCATCAGCTGTTAAAGTAATCACAACGGCTGTGCTGCGTCCTAGCCAACTGTATGCATGACTATTACTGCTCAAAGTGCCAGGTCATTTTATCTGACAGAAAAGTAAACCATTAAAGGGTGGGAAAAATGGCGAAATAAATCCTGTTGTTATGTCAAAGAGGCCCAAATCCCGATGGACTTGTTTCACTTTTTCGCTGAGCTTGTCCGATTTTACAGCTCAAAAAATAAACAAAACGGTTAAATATGTCATTTTTTTATTGGAGGGAAATATCACGAAGTGTTTCAGATGTATTAAATGCCGAATCACGGACTTTATAGAGTTTACGGCGAGACACAAACTCAATTTAACGACAGGCTGTATTTATTATGATTCTTCCCGACTCTGTTCATCGGGGACATCTGTAATTACGCTGCTCACTGACGCATGCGTGATCGCAAGAACCGTTCCACGTTACTAATTTGTTTTGACGGCGAATGCATGTATAATTTATATGAATGTACATCTCACCATAAATGCGATGTAATATAATAAAACAACAGTAAATTGAATAAAATAATCTAAATACTTTACACGTGTACATTAATATATCTAACGCAAACTAGACATAATTACTATGGGCATATTGTTTTTATGTAAAACGAAAATTAATCAAAATAAACAATAAATTACTGTGTTCGATTTGTTTATTTCATACTAAATAATGAACCGTGGAAGAACATACTAATTAATTGTTACCGTGCATTTAAGTGACAATGCATTGTTTATAACCCTGGCCACGGCACTACGTGTGTAGCAAGACAATAAAGAGAAATAGTGTACATATTAATTTATTGGAATAAAAATGCGACAATTTTAACTACTGTAAAACAAAATTAAACAGGAAAATAAATACTATAATAATATTGTGCGATTGTTGTTGCTAGATGTGAATGTGAACACCACGTAAACAAAGTATTTGTATAATTGTAAATAATTGTGAATAATTGTAAATTAACAGTAGATCAATTAAAATAGGATCTGTATTCACTAACATTTGAATGCATCATGAATTTCTCAAGTCGGCGTGCGTAATAAATTAAGATTTAAAGTTGATTGTGGCTCATTTGAAAGCCGCCGGAAATTGCAACCATATACTAGTACAGCACGCATCGAATAATGTGAATACATTTAGGTCGATTGGAAATAGAGGTAGTATTATGGTTATAAATAAACGGTATTAAACAAGGGGGTCTATCAATTTCTACATGCACGCGCGTCTGGCGTTCCCGTCTCTCAGGGGAGAGCACTAAACATGCATGATGCTTTTAGCTTATTTTTGAGTCTATAGTGTTATCGAACTCGTCGCCAATTACCCCAATTTCGGTGTTTATTTTGTGCAATAAACATCGCAGATAATTTTCAAATTGTCGGATATTGTTCATGGGTATAACAATTGCAGAGACACATCCGTCTATGGAGTTATGAATGGCGTGTGGTATCCATGGAAACGAATTGATTCCAGGATTAAAGGGCTTGCTACTGCCATACTGCATCGCTGTTGAAGCTTTCGTCACATGGTCTGGATTTCAAAGCTTGAATTAAAATCATTAGTATCGTATTTTCTTGGTCACTCGGCTATGATTAGAATGATAGGAATGTTTAGCGTAAAAGATGGAGTACGTGAGATATTATACGACATTTGTAAACTGCGAGGAAATCAGCATGATACTAGATTCCGAGCGTTATACCGAACGTAATTGTAATAATGATGCCTTTCACGGGAAGTTGTCATTGAAACCACAGTTTATTTGGATTGGGAAACGGCCGGAACTATCCCCGCGGCTGGATTGTGGGTAAAATGTAAGGAAATAAGCAACACTTGCAATCGTATTATTTGTTCTCACGCTGAATTCAATAATAAGCGTGTATCTCAATTTTAACGTCTTGTTCTCCTTTGAGATCATCCACAGGGAATAATTGTCAAAATAGAATACAGAAATATTAAAACGCATAAATTATTTTCAAAATTTTTAATTCCACGATTTTCGCTGAAAGTAAAATCCGCTAAATTAAATCCACGTGAACATGTGAAATCATTACTAGTTCATTTCAAGTTAAAACATAGAGCATATGCTCAAAATATCAACACAAAGTAAGTTAAATAACAATGAAAACTAAAGCATTAAAATATTTAGATATTATTGACAATTAGGTCTACATTTGTGTTCGATAATCCGTATTCAATACACATGGATATGAGCTATACTAATGTACATGCGCTTTGCATTAATAGTACGTACCGCCAATACAAAACATTCACATATAATGTACAGTGTCACAACAGTACAATGTACGATATGTGTACAAGTATTGAATATAAATAACAAAAACAATATATCATTTAATGCCTCAGTATTAATCATTAATCATTAATTATTATTAATTTATGAGAGGTGAATGATACATTTAATTTCCCGTTTTTTATAAGCCGGGCACATAATTTCGTATTGAAGGGGATGAGCCGGTGGTTATTAGTTTTCCGCATGCGGTCTGTTGATGAAAGTACCACAATGCAAAGGGCCACAAGAAGGACGTCACGGTTGGACCTGAAAAATCCGGATCACGTGACAATATCTGGGTTTCCAAATGCTTTCTAGTAACATTGTATGATATCGTATTTTATTCTGAAGAAAATTAGGTAAATTTACCAAAAAAATTACGTAAATTAAATATAAAAGCCTTGAAATAAAATTAGCGATGTTATAATGACAAATACAAATTATATCGAAAAATGCTAAAAACAACAACATGTATAAGATTCGGTAAATGCATACATGGTTGGTTATATCATGTAAACTCCAACATTTATAACGATATATTGAGAATAAACTTTCTGCTTTTATAGTAACTTTGCCATACTCCAAAGTTCACAAAGCGGTCGGAGATTTACGACGACGACTTTCTGTTTAAATATTTAAATGCATATTGAATTTGCGAAATAACGGGGGCACTTAACATGAATACGGAAATGGGACATTCACGTTATGCTAACTAGTATCATAAACATATACCTCCATGCTAGTTTCAATCACAGTCCCTCAACGCCACCAAAACCAATACAAGGTGTTGCGGGACTGTGTATAAACGTACGGGACGCAGACTGAACGATTGACGGGGGTGGGGGTATTTGTGTAAAACAATCATGACTCCATGATCTGACTCTAGCAACATACTTGAACGTATCTCGTCGCTGAGGAGAAGTTAAAGGTCATATATATTGAATGTTTATGACTTATCAGAGATACGGTTTGTCACAAAAACAAAGCCAAGGACGTGGCGTCCCGGGACGAACCGACGCGAGCCGGGGGTGTAGACAACACAAACCAGTATGTGGGGCGTACATTCTACGGCCAGTGAATCATGAGTACACTTCCTATTTCCCTCTCAATGACGTAATTACCATCGTTAGTCTGATATTCAGACCAGTCCGAGTTGAGATTCACCAGTCACGTGATCACATGCTTTAAAGGCGGGTGGATACGGAGGTCACCTGTTGTGTCCCATATCACTGCTGTATCTCAAAGGGGCTAGTCAAAATGGAAGATGTTACCGACGAAAGTGGCATCTCTTCCCAGGAAGACGATAGTACATCTTACTCTATTCTCGGAGACAAGTTGAAGTTCAACCCGACAGTGCTGAAGTTATCACGTTCACAACCTGTATCATTTCTTTCGCAGGAGCCGTCTGCCTCGCCACTTTCCAGAGACCGGGACTTCCGCTCATCGGGCAGGTCTACCGATTACACCAGCCGGTCTACCGAGTTATCTAGCAGCAGAAGCGAGTATTCCAGCCGCGTCGGCGATCTCGGCACCGCTACTCGCGATCTAAACAATCACGGCCGATCCAGCTCGACTACATCTGTGTCGTCATCGATGTCGTCATTGGCAGACAAAGATTCAAGAGAGTACGTCGGCTTCGCAACGCTACCCGATCAAGTTCACCGCAAATCGGTGAAAAAAGGATTCGAGTTTACGTTAATGGTAGTAGGTACGTATGTAGTTATATTAAATTCATGTAAACAAGTCTACACCTAGAGTCACAGCTGGGTAGTTATTTCCACTTAGTATAAACAAATAACTGCGCCAACTACATTTTAAAATAAATCACAATATATAACCGTAGCACTTTCCCCGTTCACATTATATTGTCGGGTTCAAGCAGACTAAACAACTCAACGGGCGGCGTAGCAAACATTGGCAATATATCAAATACTTGTCCTCCAAAGCAGTACAATAATACAATGAGAAATCCTCTAATATATGTACATGTATTTTGACACTGCCTTTACTGTTCTTGTATATTTCTACCAGTACCAACAAATCGCCGGTCACATCGAGCTGATATTCTTTAATATACATGTTTTCAAATCAGATAGCGAAGTATTTTTTTTTTCGTTCCACATCAAATAAACAACATGCCGGAAATCATATTGCATTAAACTTGAAAAACAACAGGAAATCCATTGATTTGCTACCAGTTAGTCGTTATATAGTATAAAAACCGACGTGACGAACGCATATTATCAAGCTTTAACAGCGTTTTAAAATGACTGCGCTCTTTATTCCGTAAACCCCTGAATAATGCACTTTCACGATTCGGTGAAAAGCGTTGAGACGCGAATTGCTCTAAATAACACTTGACATGTCTGTGCCCTCCCCCGAAAACAAAGTTGGTTTCTCGTATTGTCTTTAGAACAGTTGTTCTGCGTTCTTTAACTTAAATTTTTACTTAAACTCCTCTATTCAATTGTTACTGTATCTACAGTAGAAACCCGTCGAGCTTGGAATAACGATACACTCACTGGTTTGCGAATTGCAGCAATATTTGAAATAACTAAATCACAGTAAAAAAAACAATAGCTGAGTAAAAAACACGCATACCTTTGTTAACCTTTGACCTCTCCCGATGTAATAGATACGTGACCCATTTTCGCGTTAACGACACACTTGGAAATGCAATAAATACACAGGACTGACTGATTTGTTGCATTTTAAATTATTTAAAAGAGACGCAGTCGCCACACCGCGTCATGTACGATATAGGTCCAATGTGACGTATTAAAAGGCGGTAGTTGTCGTGCCACGCATGCGCGAGATATATGGGTCTCACATTAGGTATTTTTTAGTTGATTGGAAGGTATCGAAGGAGTCACCGGCTGTACTGAGTGAAAGTCGCGCCCAGGTCAAACCTCATACTTGTGATTTTCATTAGAAGAGTGCATTGGATTGTGGGAAAATCAAAAACGCGTTGTACGACGAATATGGCTACCCTAGTCAGTTGTATAGTACTATTAATTTGAAATGACCATCATCTCGTAATAATTTGTTATTCTTCTCATTTTCACAGGTGAATCTGGTCTAGGAAAATCGACACTGGTAAACAGTCTGTTTCTTACAGATCTCTACAAAGACAGAATTTTGCCCAGCGCAGAAGGTAAGCAGAATTAAGGATAAGGAATCATGTTTATTGCCACTTATATTCATTTACCTATGTTTCTCATTAAAGATCACATTTTACATCTTAAATGTGTATAAGTTACTGTTACTTATTCTCGAATAAAATCATGTTTTTGTTTGATTAGTTTAAAACATGCATTTTTTTTTATTTGTTCTCACTTAAAGTTTTACTAAAATAATAGAAAGTAAGTACTGTCTATCAACATCAAATTCAGAAAAATAACGCGTATCGCAAAATCTCTGAAAAGTCATATGTGCAGACTGATGTGGACTCTTGCACAATGTATGTGGACACTTTTTGAATAATTCAGTAATTATGCAAATTGCAGAGAAATGCATGAATCAAGCCATCCAAACAAAAATATTTCCTCAGTTTGGCTAATTTAGACGCATTTTAATGGGTTCTATACGAGCTCAGATAACAGCAAAAACATTTGTATATGAGATATTAAATAGGATATCAAAATTGTACAAAATAAAAAGGGGTATACTATATAGTTTCAGAAAAGCAGAATAGGTAAATTTTGATCAATAATATCACACGAACAAAAGTATCATCCTTAAAACACAGATTATGGTAGATGTATATATGTGTACAAACACACGTATTTAAGGTAGAGATGCAGGTTCGTGGGCACTTGGGAGTGAAATCTTTTTTTTTGCTTTTTATTATCCAAACATTCTTGGCTATAGACTGTTAAAATTTTGTAGAATTGTGAATAGTGGAACATACTCAAAAACGATTTTAAAATATAGATAACAGCTGCAAACATTCTCTCTTTTGAATGCAAGGCAAGATTTAGCAAGGCTGTACATACAAAATAAAAAAGAAACATGGTGAAAAAAGAAATGACGGGATCTCCATATTATGCACTATATTTAACTTTTAACAAAACGATAATACATTTAAATTTGGAACTGTTACAGCCATTTTAATTATGAGTATTAGCAAACTTCTTACTGAGTGAATTGTTATGCAAATTAGCAATTATCTCAGCTTCTTTTTGTCAATCTTCAAAACGCCGTCGGGGCATTGTTTTTGGTTGAACAGTGTTACAACAATCGTACAGACAACTAGCCTTGGTGTTAATTTATGCATAAACTTGAAGTAGTAAAATTTGAGCTGCTGTCCTGCAAAATTGACAACTGGTAGACAGATTTCAAGACGGCACTTTCTTCATAGTAAACATATATACCCATAAACCAATAAACAGAAGCATGGTTTAGAAGCTAATTTTTAAAAATCACTTTTGACCAAAAAAGCACATTTTTGTGCACATTTCAAACTACAGTGTCCGAAAATATATAGTTTTGTGGACAAGGAGGTCTTCTTGGTTTCCTAATTAACTAATTAAAATACCTGTCAGGTAAACTGCATCTCTACCTTAAATCACTACATGTCTCTATACACCATAACGTGTATACATCAAATAATGTCATCTAACGAATGAGTCATGTATTCAGTGAAGCAATTATAATGCATATCGCAACGTCACGTTTTTTTAATGATATTTAATTAAGCATTCTCCATTCTACAGAACGCATCAGTAAAACCGTACTCATACAGAAGTCAACAGTAGAGATAGAGGAACAAGGAATCAAATTAAGATTGAATGTTGTCGACACTCCGGGTTTTGGCGATACCGTCGATGGGTCTGAATCGTGAGTATACTAGTAGTTATCTAACCAGTCGCGTTTTAAGTGGAAATGTACATACACCTAGGTGTATTTATCAAACATGCATCGTCTGTTGTTGAGTTTTAAAAAGCGTATCTTTTGTACATGTGTATGATGTAATTTAGGGGTCGTCGAGCCGCATCATAACGCTCAGTCATCGCCCTTAATAAATTAGCCTAACATGTAGGTGTGAGTAGACCCTACTAACCCTACCGTGTTGGGTTTGGAGTACCGCGCAACTCACATGACCTTGTCAGGCTAATATATAATTAACCAATTTAATTAATTGATTAAATCGTTTTTTATATCATCGTGCGTAGTATTGCGAACAAGGTATAAAATGTACGTACAGCATAACTACTATGTTTAGTTTCATGGGAAACACAATTGGGATATATCTCAGCTTTACAATCCATCAATTTTGTTACTGTGTTGCATGTGTGACAATGTATTCACAGAAAAAATGTTGTCACGTGATAGTATTCTGTTCAATCACCAGATACAGGATGTTTCTATATACTAGTATATCTCGTAACTGTAAACCACTTTTCCTAATTAGAATAATTGCCATGTATGCTAAGCTCTCAGCTGGTTTTGCTTTTTTGTTTATTTATTAATTAAAGTTAAACTTAATTTATTAATTAATTAAATCTTCAATCACAGACGATAATTAATTAATTTGTTTTTTCACTTTTCCACCATGCAAATGTATGCCACGTGCTTGCGGTGCATTGTGGGTATATATGTAATGAACTATGTGCCGAATCTTTCAGATGGAAGCCTATAAAAGACTACATTGATAAACAATATGAACAATATTTTCAAGACGAGAGTGGTTTGAATCGTAAGAATATCGTAGACAACAGAGTACATTGCTGTTTGTATTTTATATCGCCATATGGAAGAGGGTGAGTGAAGATTTTTCTCGTGTCTTTTTAATAATGATTAGAATCCTGTGCGCGCATGCGCACTATAAAAGTAAGGAAACTGATTTCCATATAAATAAACGGATATCCGCTTCAACAATTTTGCAAGTTGTTTTACCGATAACACATTGATACACAACATGCAAGGTGATGGCAGTCCAAATTCAAAAATAGAACGCAGTGGATTGTGGGTATGTATGGCAGTGAAGCACTGATGATGACCGTATGGGGCGCTCTTCTCGTCACCTGTTATGAGTCACCCATTCGTGCTATGAGTCATCGTGACGCAAACTAACAACTGGATCAAGAGGTCAAGGTGTTTAATCTGGCTGAAGTCTTTCCATGAATCAAATTGTTTCTTTTTTAGTTATAAAAACTAAGAAATAATTTGGAAGCGGCATTGTGAATCACAGATGTCTATAGCATAGCTGATATAATAAAAGTTCTGTAAACCAGTTCAATCCGGTATGAACCAGCTACAAATAAGTCAGTTGTTACCAAGGCTCATAGGTATACCAAATACCAATATTGAAAAAAAAGCAGTTCCAAACTAAAAAGATGCGCAACGAGAGAATTATTAACGGTTATTTTGGTGAATACCCTATCTATGCACCGTGTTTATATAATTTGAATGTTGTTACAGGTTACGACCCATCGATGTAGAATTCATGAAACAGCTACACACCAAAGTGAATATAGTCCCAGTCATCGCTAAAGCAGACTGTTTGACGCCACTGGAAGTGCAGACGCTGAAGAGAAGGGTAAGATATGATCGCCACGGCTCTGTTTGTTTAGCAAACACATTAAAAATGTTCAACATAAAACGAAAGTTTCATGACCGAAAAAGATATGTTTATTTAAAAAAACGCTCAAATATATGTAGTTCGAAGTTCGAGACATGATTATAATATAACATATAGAGTGTAGTGTTTAAATGTTGTGTATATTAATGATGGGAATGTATTCTCACGTGAAAACATCTCTACGCGCACTTCGAAGTCCATCACGTGACGTAAAATCTACATAAACTATAATTAATGGATATCCTGTTATTTTTGTTGCACTAGATTCTGGACGATCTCGATGTTCACGGGATTCAGATCTATGAATTTCCAGACTGTGATTCAGACGAAGATGAAGATTTCAAACAACAAGACAAAGAACTCAAGGTCAATAGTCTGTCATTTTCAATTTATAAATGTCCCTTTCTCGCTTTCTCTTCATCCTTGACTGCCACGTGGTTACTCGTAACTGGTAACCACAGTCAGCTAGCATGTGCGGTTCTCCAGTTGAGTCAGCCTGCCCTTGTCATGCTGAGACTGTTGTTTCTATGCGACAACCGACATGGTACTTCTTATACACTTATAACAACCTGTAGTCAATCAATCAACCAACCAACCAACCAATCAATCAATCAGTCAATCGAATGTTTAAATGTTTTGTGAGTTTATCTGGGTCTGATCTGTTGATTTACAGGCGAGTACACCCTTTGCTGTGATTGGTAGCAATACTATAGTAGAAGCCAATGGTAAACGAGTCCGAGGCAGACTTTACCCATGGGGCATAGTAGAAGGTAGGTCATAAATATGACATCACATACATTGTCAAACCAGCACTGAGCTGACGGAATACATAGTTATTGATTGAAAAACAACATGTTATTTGTTCGTAATTGAAATGATAAATCTGTTTTCTTTTTATATTTTAGTTGAAAATCCAAAACACTGCGATTTCGTGAAGTTACGTAATATGCTTATAAGGTATTTATCGTCAGGATTTATTTTGGACACATATCTTCACGCACTGTGATAGCTCTCGTCTTTGCAAGTGCGCCCTCACTTGATAGCACTGACTAAACTTTCGTATATTTTCAGAACTCATATGCACGATTTAAAGGAAGTGACGTGTGATATACATTACGAGAATTATCGACTCCAGCGTATAAAGACAACTGGTCACCCATTTAATCCGGTTAACGCACGTGACAGGAAGTATGTTATTTATATCACGTGATCACATTACATCACATATATCTTGTACTAGTATCTTATATCGTATTGATAGAATATTATCGATATTAAATGTATATTATTTCAATATATCAGCATTAATATATGATATCATATTATATATTACTAGTATATAGTATATCATAAACATATCGCACTGCTTTTTCGTGGTTGATGGTAACCGTACATCGCATTGTGATTTTTTTTCTCAGTAAACTCAAGAGAGACTCTGCTGCAAGTTACGATGGAGAGACGGACCGTTTATTGTTAGAAAAAGACGAAGAAATCAAGAGAATGCAAGACATGTTACAGCGAATGCAGGATCAAATGAAATCACAAGGAATGAACAACAACAATAACAACAGAAAACCAAACGGCAGAGTGTCATCCAGGGACCTATAAATCAGTCAACTATGCGCGCACAGCTTACATACTCTGACGTAACGGGCAGTTTTCCATATTCGGCAATCTCTAAGTTTCGCAATAATCACGTGACTCTTGTAGTGCTTTCGATTTTTAGAAACTGAAACAAATCGTCACCAATTTGTGACTTGAGTAAAACTCCAACGTTTTTGGAATAGGGGATTTTCCATTCAATGCGAGATCTCGCGTATTGTGTGAAAGGCGCGCGCCGAACGATTTGATTTTGAATTTAAGTTTCGTTTTTATAGCTCAGTATCAAAATGCCGATTTCTGAAAAAGGGGATATTGTACTGTAGATATACCCCAACATACTTTTATGTTTGTTGAATCCCACGCGATGTTTAACGTCATTACTACGATGCGACCTTTGTTTGTTCAGCTTTTACGTCAGATTTCGCGCATAACGTGAGATCTCGCTGCGAATAGGAAATGTTTTATTAAAATAATTCAGAACATGAAGTCTCGCCATAATACTATCCCTGAAAACGTTCTTCCCAAATATTCAGCTCTTATACCGCCACCAGCGATCAAAGTCGTTATTCCAGCTATGAACATTGGATGTAAATTAAAGCGGGAGGGTCGTCACCTGCGCACGCGCGGGAATTGAGTCCCAAGCGACAATAACAACACACGCTAAAACGCAAAGGCTCATGGGTAGACGCTTGTTTGTAAACAATGTCATGCTATGACCATCTGGAGCATGCGAAGGTGACAACTCCTCCGCTTTAACATACTAGTAATTCCCAAATTCATGTGATAGTTTAAGTTATTCTAAGAAATCAAATAAGGTGATAATACGATGCATATAATTCTACCAAAAAAAAGACGCACGTATTTTGCAAACTATGAAATATATAATATTCTACAACACCTCGTGTTGATATTTCTCTATATAATACATACAGTGTACGATAATCAAACTACTATCAATACATTTGCAGCATCTTATTTAGTTTAGAGACTTTAATTTTGAAAGTCTTTCTTAATCACTTCTTCGCTAGAGGTCGTTTGAATCAAATGTGCACCTCTGATCATATTAAGAAAGTCGTAATGACTGTCTACTATTAACCCTTAGCAACCGTCATTTGCAATAGGGATGTCGAACATGAAAATACATATTTATTCCATAAACATATATATATATATATTACCTTAGTTTTTCAAATGATTGAAGCAGAATCTTATCTTATTTTATTTTATATTGTTATTTACCGTTTGCATCACAATGACGTCGGAACGTCCAAATTCAAAATCATCGATATATTTATTTTTTAGTATACTGTTTTATTTTGATACGGATTCTTGTTTTTAATGTTGTCACATTCTGTGCGATCAAATTTCCTGCCTCGTTTCACCGGTTACAGATTTCACTATTAGTACATCATTTCTATGATTCGCGCCCTCCGGCGACGAAGCGCTTCCGTGACATATAGGGGTGAAAGGGTCGCCGTTCACAGTGCCGCTATGTCTTGATTTGTAGTCGTTCACACTAAAAGTAGTTTCTTAAATTTTGGTATGTAATAAATGACGAACGACTTCACAATCTGACACACATTTATTAAAAAGATATATTGCTTGTGTCTATTATAAATGTCTTAACTCTTATCGACATTCGCAGGAAACCCTGCGACAGGTTGTTGATTTTTTTTCACTTTTTTTTACAATTTTTTGTTATTCTGTTGCTATGGCAATCGAATCGGGATGGAGCCAGTAAAATTATAAGGGTTATATTTAAACCCGTAAGAAGAAAGTTTATGTCTATATACGTAATTGTTTGTGTTTTATTTATAACGAGAATACTCGCATATCACTGCATTGCTCACTGCCTTTTTCGCCCGTGTGTTTCCAAACGTAATATTATTTTAAAGGTCGAAGGTCGTCGCGACGCGTCGTGTTCAATGTGGGTCCCATGCGACGTGTACAACTCGTGTAAACTACATTTCTTGTCAGCATGAAATTCGAAAGCGTGCTGATCGACGACCACCTTGATTCAAATTGTGTAGGGCTAGATTTTATTATGTTATGATGACCAATTTGTTACTTTAAGCGATGTACTTGTTTTGTATGATGCCCATAGTTTGTGTGTATGTGCACCTAGGTAAAGCCGACGGCTCTAGCGAAATGTAGGTCATACACTGGACAGTGAGTGCAAATATGTTAATTTATAAAATAAATACCTTTTAAAAGTTATTCTTTATGCTATGTAACATTTTCAATGAATTGACAAAAATACATCTAAACTACAATTGAAGAGTCAGTGTTATCTTTACAACGTGGTGACAGGTAATGACGTAATGTGCGTGTCTCAGGCTGTGTCAGCAGGTCTGGGGCATTCAGTTGGTCATACAGCGTAGCTATGGTTATATAACATATGCGTTCAGCTGATACAGTACACTATATTAGCAGTACATTGGTTGTTATGTGATGGACTAGGTTGCTTAGATGAGACTGCGCAATAACGATGACCGAGACAAGAACTGGATCGTTACGGTACGTTTAATTTCAGTGCAAATCACGTGGTAGTCGTAATGAACTTACATTGGATCTTCATTCAAGGTATGCAAATATAATTGTGATTGCCATACTGTAGTATAATAGCGGTTTAGCGTAAACATAAACACTGCCAATCAGAGCAAAGAACACGAATGACCGTCGAAATCTCGTTTGAGAGCGAGAGAGCGTAGCGTTCCCCGTTACTATCGCGTCCAATGTACTAAATACATGTACCATGGTTACACAGGTCAGCATTATAGTATTGAACATTGTTTGGGCAGCAAGACCAAGTCACACGACTCTCTTGCTCTCAACGAGACATCGACGGCCATTTCCGAATAAGGTCAATTGAATACCAAGTACTAGTACAACAACACTTCCAGAAATAAACAAGAATAACTGACACACATTAATGCATACATTACATTTTTTCAATAAGTCGCCCTCTAGCGAGGAAGCACTACCGTGAAGTAAAAATGACGCATGTGGGTGTGAGCAATGTAGTTTGAATAGACAATTCTGTTTGGTTTTGTTGTTACAAACTACATACGTTCTGACTGTCTTCCCATCCTCCAATTTATGTAACAGAGTAGTTTGTCGCTAGAGGGCGCCACTTTACAGCAACGACCATGCGTGCCCACTACAATTGCAGTCAGATTGGCATCGGACTTGTTGAGATTCGAAAATTCATCATGTTGATTTTTTTTGATTCGTGAATGTAATGTAATGTAATGTAATGTAATGTAATGTAACGTAATGTAATGACGCTCGCGCAATGAACAGAGTGCAAATTTCCAAACGCCTTCAAAACTGAGCCATCAAAGGACATTGCCTGTCACAAGAGCGGTATCAACTTACACCTTTTTTATATTCAGGAAGCAATGCCAGATAATGATGTATTGTTTTTAGTAG